TTTATGTATATTATTTATTAAGAGATAAACTTCAAATTGTAAAATCATTTATCTTTAAATTTATGGGTCATATTGAGGTTCCGTAAAACTCAATAGTGTATAAAGATTGTTGTTCCTTATTTGTAAGTCATCGAAAGAGTTGTAAAGGGTTAGATTGTACCATAAGTCAGTCAATATAGTGAAAATGCATTGCTCGTGTCTGAGAGTTTGATAACGAAGGACGTGGATCATCTCCAAATCTACAGTCGTCATATCACTAGTTCTCTCTTTCCCTCCTAACTACTAGCCACTCTATTTACTCTCCACTACCACATCCATCATCACTCCTCCAGTACTTCGCCACGAGACCCGTGAAGAATGTGTGTCGATAGCGGCTTTGTTCAGGAGAAATCTTGGAGAATGTCTCGACATTTGGGGTGGCGGGTTGGGTGGGGATGAATATTCAGATTCGAAATTAAAGGGGTTGGGTGGATTGACGCGGGGTATACTAGATATACCTGATATGTGAAGAAAAAAAGTAATTACTACCCGATTAATGAAATTGAAACTTTAAAATGTAGGGTTTGAAACAATTTTTCCAATAATTAATCGAACAACTTTGGGCTAATAGTATGTTTTCTTATTTTCAACGGCATTCATCAACTAATTTGAAATTGTACACCATAGATGTGCCCAATGTTTAATCTTTGTGGGTCCTATGTTGTTCCTGCACCCTGAAATCCTGAATAAGCATGCGAGAAATGCTACCAAAGCAGGCTCAAATTCAGGTTTAAATTCAGGGACGACACGTGTCGGCGTAGGATTGGACAGTTTAAAAAAATACACTACACTCAATCATTTCCATACACATCACTCTGTCTCATTGTTTCCTGTTTTTGAGCCGGATGAGTGGCTTTTTCCTAAGCGTACAACCTCGTAAATTTTCTAATTTACTTAATAAATTTATTTGCATGTACGGTTTTTTATGATTAGCTAAAGAGCTCGTATATACTTGAATAGTACATTGGGAATTATATACACATTACATTTTTTATTAATCATGTACTATATTTTAATCGCAACTAAAGTCTCCAATTTTTGCTCATTTCGGTCCTTACGTCTTTTAACTTTTTTTTTTTCTAGCATTCTTATCCTTATAAAAAGTTAGGAGCATGTGAAAATGAACAAAAGTTATGATGTAGTTGACACAAATTATGGTATAAATATAATTAGCTATAACAAATATAATACGTAGAGGATTTTTGGATATTATAAGTTGGTCGTACTTCATTTTTAACCACACATTTTACTGAATCCACAATTTTTATCAACTTTTTAACCACACATTTCACGGTATCCACCAATCTATAATTTCAAAAACTTTATGGGACTTATTTATACATCTATCTTTCTTAATCACATCAAACCTAGTGGAGTAAAGACGCTATTCGTGTATCGAATATGTCCATACCATGTACCATTAAACAGGCTATCCAGCTATTTTCATGGTAAGATGTCACTCAACATTAATTTTACAACCCATGCATTAAAGAACTCCGGCCGTGACGGGCAAGATAACGTGTTATTAATTTCAAAATTTTCATATCTATAGTTTTATGCTTATTTTGAAAATTATTAAAGTTATTTAGCTGAATTTCAATCGGAAGAAATAATATTAATAGTATAAGTTTCCTATTATATGATACTTTGAAAATTATTAAAGTTATTTAGTTAATTTTCTTTATTTTTTATTTTTATTTTTTTTGGGTTGGAAAGTACTTATGAAAATTAAATATTCTTGAATAATCAACCACCACTTCGCATATATACTATCAAGAAGTACTCCGTTTAATAATAAGACTTCGCATAGAGTTTGTTTGATTGACTTTATTTTTTATGAAAAATGTCATTTTCACTCAAAATTCTACTTTTAGGATGTTTGATTGACATTTTTTTTGTAAAAAATATTTTCAATTTTTGATCGTGTGACTATATTTTTCTCAAAAACAAGTAAACTATGTTTTCAGGGAAATGTGATTTTTATTTTTAAGATAATTCACTGTCTCTCCCATCTATCCCCCTCTCTCATCTATCCATTAATAAAAAATGGAGAAATATAATATTTTTTAGGTTGAAAACTAAATTAATCAAACGTATTTAATTAATAATTTTCATTCAAATAAGTTCTGAGTAATTGAATTCATGAAATTTATTTTCTTTCCATACAAATTTCATACTCACAATCAAACGCACAATTTTGACTTCAATGCAGGTATGGTCATTTGACTTCAATGCAGGAATGGTCATTTGAATTAAATTTTGGCTTCAATGCTGGTATGGTGGTTAGTCGAGTCATTTGAATCAAATTTTGGCATTTTGCATAAATGGAGAAAACTTATAGGAGTTGGGAATATGCTGTTGACCCATTTGTTCCAACCTACAAAACCAGCTTTAATAGAGATTGGACTTCAATTTGGACCACCTATTTCTCTTCCTAGGTTTGAATTCTGATTTGTTTAAATTTTAAATAAAAAAATTGATTTTAGAAAGAAAAAAAAACTTGCACCATTGGTCCTTAACCCAATGGTTTGGTTTCTAATCAA